GAAGACACTTCTGTGCTTGTGCAGAGATGCAGACTTCGTCGTGCATTTCGCATCCGCGTGAATTTGCTGCAGCGTTTTTGGCCTTCAGGGCTGGTAGGCTGCATGGAAGCCCCCACGCCACTCACGGAGCAGGAGCTGCTAGACGCTCTAGCCGAGCTGCACGCCCGTATCGATCGCGTGCAGACTAGTCTAGCCAATCTACACGACCTCATCAACAGACAGTACAACAGCATTGATCGACTTAATTTTCGGCGCCTTCAGCGTGTCGAGGGTCGTCCTCAGGATACCGACGCAGAGGCCGCCAATAGCCCTGATACGCAGTGCTCCTTCCTGCATTCTCTTGATTAAGTTGTCCTGCGTGCCTTCTTTTCACATGTCAGCATCAGCTTCTCGCCACGTGGGGTTGCATGGTTCAGTTTCTGATGCTTGTGACAGACTCGAGGCGCAACTCAGGCACTTGAACTCAGACGTTGTTGCACCTCTGAAATTCCCGTGGGAGAGGAGCCAGGCTCTTTCGGCAGTCTTCTCAGGTGCACCGGGCAGGGCTGTCGACTTCCGACCCCTCAAAATCCCTAGGGTCGTACCCCCGCCAGCGACTCCGTCCACGAGGCCTGGAGATATCTCTCCGAAGCTTCAGGCACCGCTTGCGCCAGTTGTCAAGCAACCTGCAGTGTTTGAGCAAGTACTCAGGAAGCCCAGGCTTGATCCAGGTGCCAGGGTTGCTGCGGATCGGGACAACGTTTTGAGGCGTTGGTTGTGTGTCCTCAGCCATGAACCGAGGGCATCCGAACTAGGTGGCCTCATCTGGAAGGACGGAGAGAAAGATCCTTTAGGCGTGGTGTCTCAGGCTCTGTCCGGGAAGGCCACTGCGACTCTGCTCAAGAGGGTCCGCTGCTGTGCAAGGTTCATCAAGTGGGGTCAGGAGCATTCCATTGCGGTTTTTCCGGTGACCCTCGATTTTCCTATAAGTTTCCTTAAGCCCCTCGCCGCGAGCAAGCAGAGCAGTGCCATCAGAGAGACGCTCGAGACCTTCAACTTCCTTCAGCATGTTGTGGGGTTGCAAGTTGAGCCGGGCATCACTTCAAACCCGTGGATCAAGGGTGCTGTGCGTGGAGCCAACATAAGGACGTCGGATCCCCGCAGGTCGAGGGTCCTCACAACGTCCGAGGTGCTTCTCCTCGAAACCACCCTCATTGAGGGGCATCATGATCGTGTGGACCGTTATGCAATCGGTGCCTTCTTGTTTCAGCTCTATGCGAGGGCGAGGGTCTCCGATCTCCGCAACATTTCCAAGCTAGAACTAGTGCTGGCTTCATTGAGGTTCGCACTTATGAGCACAAGAATTCTAGGCTTGGCAGTGGAGCAGGAGCGGTGCTGATTTCGGTTGCACCTTATCACGGGCTCCACGTCCAACCCTGGGGGCAGGCGTGGGTGCAAGCTGCTGCGGCAGCAGGCTTCGCCTTCGACAAGGGGCATCGGGGACCGATTCTCCCAAGGCTGGCGAGCGACTACAGCTGGAGTGGAGATGCGACTGATGCCAACGAGACCACAAGCTGGTGTCGCGCAGTTCTGGCTCAGCTCTCAGGAGGTCCCATCGATGAAACTTTCTCGAGTCACGGCCTGAAAACCACTCCGCTCAGCTGGACGTCCAAAGCAGGGTATCCAGAGCGCACCCAGCTGATCCTATAGGGCATCATTCGCTGGGATCCACAGGGAAGACTCAGGAGTCCTATGCCCGTGAGGTCCAGGCGCAACCTCTACGAGACCTGGTGGAGTGCATTGCGGCAATCCGACGGGGCTTGTTCCACCCTGACCGGACGCGCAGCGGCATGGTGACTCAAGGTGCACTGGGATCTCATGTCAAGTTCGGCGGGGTCGGGGCACACGAGTTTGAGTGCGCCCCTCCCTCTGATTCGGCAAACTCAAGTGCACTTGAGCCGGCACAGAACGAGATCCCTCGTGATTCGCTGCGTGAGGAGGCGGGATCGCCCACCAAGGATGGGAGAGCATCCTCTGGATGCCAACATGATGTGGCTGAGCCCCAGAGTGAAGAGTATGAGAGTTCTGGGGAGTCCGAAGGGGACGTTGCCTATGAAAATTTTGGTAAGGGGATCACGCAGGATGTGATCCCCGATGTAAATATGGGCCCAGATCTTGACATCTTTCAAAATCCGAAAACCAAGAGCTTGCACGCTCGAGCGCGGGGCTCAACTGGCAAGCTGATCTGCGGCCGATCACTTGACAATATGAAGACCTTTCAAGGAAAAGTCTTCAGCCATCGGTGGATGTGCAAACAGTGCATAGCCGGGCGCCCGGTGCGTGACATAGGGGCCCTCAACTCTTTCCTGTCTAAGAAACAGGGAAGGTCTGCCTGATCGATTCAGGAACCAGGAAAAATGATGCTAGGGCAGCAGGGTCCAAGCAACGTGCATCGCGATTGGTTTGTGTTACCCAAACTTGATCAGAGTTCGGAGCAACTCTGACGCTCATTGCCTGTCGATGAGTGGTTTGGAGACCAAGTCGGATGTGACATCAGAACCATGCCAACATTGTCAGTGTTCCTCAACGGGAAGAGATCGGTTCAGCTGGACCGATTATCCCCGGGTGGTTGCCACCGGGGCCGTTGAGCTGACAGTCGTGGGCAGGTTTGATGAGGGTGCCAGTGCAAGCAGCTGAGTGCATTTCTGCATGGGACTTGAGGGCTTGCTGCTCGTGTGCGACACGTGCATGTCGTTCCGAGACGTTTTCTCCCAAGGTTTCTATCTAGGATTGCGGCACCATGGCTCAGACTTTGGTGGAATCCAAGGCGGTTTTCCTGGAGCGAGCCAGCCGCGTCGGGTTGCCCGAGGAAGCTGTCAACAAGCTAGTGGATCAGGGCATCGATACGATGTCGAAACTAGCATTTGCTCCGTGCCAGCCAGGCGAGACCCCTTCAGAGGAGTCACTGATCAGCCTGATTCAGGCCGGGGAAGCTGAGCCATCGCGGGGATCGATTGCGGCCCTACGCCATCTGGTTTTTGAAGCGCAGACCTTATTAGTAAGCCAGACCAAAGCCCTGGTCGAAAACCGGGAGGCTGAAACCAAAGATCTCGCGCCAGCCGAGCGCAGGGAGCGGATAAAAACCCAGTCTCAACGATTGGCAGGCATCACCATGTCCGGCCAGAGTGAGTGCAGTTTCGCATCCTACGACTTATGTATGAAATTGCTCACAGAGAACTGTGTTTCTTACCTGGCTCCATCGAAATTTATCACGCGCGAGGCTGAACTGCGTGCTGACAAACCTCGCAAGGAGCTTGACGTCCAACACTCGACTCTGATCGTCAAAGAGCGGGAGCCTGACCAAGTGCGCGACACTTCTACTGCCCTCAGTCTCCATCATGCCCTTCATCGTCGCAGCCTCGCTCTTGACTTAATTGGGGTCACTGACATATCAAGGTCCAGGCCTTTGTGGATTTTCTCCTGGCGCACCTGCATCAGGAGCCTGCCGCAGGCAGTCGTGCCACCACAGTTCAACAGATACTGTTGGCTGATCGTGCTGCCTGGCTTCGCCTCTCAGAGCTCACGCCGGACGGGATCAGGCGCGACGAAGCCGGCCGGCTCCCGCTCGACGCGCTGTGGAATCGCCTTGAGACGGACCCCAAGGTCCAAGGTCATTTTTCACCTTCTTCCCCGTGAAGGTAGCACCACAGGTCCGGCTAAACGCACCAGTGAGCATCTCGCAGATTCGGAAGCTCCCTCGCCAGGCAAGAAGCAACGCAAGGGCAAGGGCAAGGGCAAGGGCAAAACCAAGACCCTGCCCGAGGAGCTCAAAGGCCTGTCATCCTGGACCAAGACGATTTTGTTAACACGATTCTTGAGGCCAGATCTTCGGTGCCTCTGCGTTGAAGCTTCTTCGACTGCCCAGGTGTTCTGTCTGTTCCGTCGTTTTCCATGAACCTCAAACCCTTGACGCTAAACTCTAAAGCCTGAACTACAGCCTAAACCCTAAACCCTAAGCCACTAAACCCCTAAAGCCATAAAACCTAAACCCCTGACCCCTAAACCCCTAAAGCCCTGAGCCCTAAACCCTAAACCCTAACATACACCCTCAGCCCTCATAGAGGCCTTTTCGGGTCCGCATGTGGGTAGTTCTCTAAATCAGGATCCCTTTCAGGGTCCGTTTTATAAGGCTGCCGTACTATTTCTGGGACCTAAAAGGGGACCCTAATTTAGAGTTCTGAGACCCTAAACCCTAAACCCTAACACCCTAACACCCTAACACCCTAACACCCTAAACCCTAAAGCCTAAAGCCTAAACCCTAAATCAGAGAACTGCCCATGTGTTTCTTTTTTTCCGACGCTGCCAGGCCGTGCCCTTAGAGCCTAAGGCGGCTCGGGGCTTCTTTTGGGGGCGGCGTAGGTTTTGCGTTTGGGGCTTAGGGGTTTTAGGGGTTTTAAAGGGTTTTAGGGGTTTTAGGGGTTTAGGGGTTTAGGGGTTTAGGGTTTAGGGGTTTAGGGTTTAGGGCTTTAGGGGTTTCGGGGTTTAGGGTTCTGGATTTTGGGTGTAGTTGTCTTGGTTCGTGTTGTTTTGCCAGGGTTTTTCGATCTTTTCTCTGGGTGTTTATAGGGTTGTGGAGGCTTCTACTAGGGTTGTACGGGGCTTTAGGGGGTAGGGTTGTCTACGGTTCCTTCAAATGTTCGATGTCTTTGGCTTAGGGTTCAGGGTTTAGGGGTTTTTCGGGTCTAGGTTGCAGTTTTGGGGTACCTCGTGCTCAACTGGTATTTTCGTAAGCCCCAGAGGTGCCAACAAAGAAGCGCTTTTACTTGGACCTTCAGGGTATATTTGCACTGTTCAGGGTTCAGACTTGAACGTCCTCAAACGGAGCCCCCGTGTTCCACAAGTTGCAGCGCCTTATACAATGACAGAGTAGTTGAAAGAGCCGGTAAACTCTACGTCCTTCAGCCCTACACGCTAAGCCCTGCACCCCTTAAGCCCGAACGTTGAACCGCCAAAACCCTGAACCCCAGCAAGTCTTCACCCTTAAAGGAGCCCTTGAGAGTAGCCCTTAAAGGAGCCCCTAGAGTAGCCCTTAAAGGAACCCTTGAGAGTAGCCCTTAATGGAACCCTGAGAGTAGCCACAAAAAACGGTCCCAGGAAGATCCATGATGTTCTGTCGAAGGGAAGAGAAAAAAGGGCCCTGAGCATTCTGAGGGTTTAGGGTTTAGGGTTTAGGCTTTAGGGCTTTAGGGGTTTAGGGTTTAGGGTTTACAGTCAACACCATAAAGACTGGTGAGAACCCCAAACTTTCAGAGCAGTGGAGAACGCCAGCATAATAAGAATCCTTTGGTAGAAGAACTTGTATTCGTTTCCGAAGCCTCGACCTGATTGTCTCTGGCATCAAGCATGGCAGCATGCCGGCTAGCTTAATTTCGGGGCTCAGGCTGGTTCGTTTGATGTGTAAGTTCTGGCTCGCACGGAGATCCCTGATGTTCCACCACATCTTCAGACAGGCTGCTAGCATAGGGCAATATAGGGGCCTTAATAATTAGAAGAGGGTTTTGGGGTATGTTATACTATGATTGCAAGGAGCCCCCCCAAAACCCTATTCTAATTATTAAGGCCTCTATATCAAGCCCCAAACGGTGAAGGTGCTCCCAGCCTCCGCTACGCCTTCGGCGCCGACTGAGGCCAGCCGTTGGCAGCCCCCAACGTTTGGCATCGAGGTCTGGGGTTTAGGGTTCATAGGTTTTTTCAGGGTTCACAGTTTTTTTGAGGGTTTAGGATGTATAGTGTTTATAGGGTTTACAAGTTTTATAGGGTTTAAGGTTTAGCTCAGAAGGCTGATGTCGTATGTGAGGACCTGGGGGGCCTCTACAGTTAGGTCTACGGTGTTAGAGGTGCAGGGTTGCGCCGTGCAGAGTTTAGTGGTTTAGGGCACAGGGGTTTAAGTTGGATACGGCCCCCCCACTCAGTAACAGTAATAGTTGAGTAATATTCATAATATGGAGATATGAGGCCCGACATAGTAGCCCTATTCTACTTAGACTGCTACTGTATGTGGGCAGTACCCAAGGTTTACGGGGGTCAGTAGTGCTTTGTTTAATGTAGGGACATAGACGTTGGGGTTTGGCCCGGGGGGTAGCAGTTGGGGTTGGCGATGCAGGCAGCCTTCTTTCTCTCCCAACCCTAATCTTGGACCCACCCCCCCCAAAAAAAAACCTTAAACCCTAAACTCGAAAAAACCTTAAACCCTAAACTCAAAAGTCCTTAAACCCTAAACTTAAAAAACTTAGACCCTAAATCCGAAAAGAAAAAAAACTTAACCCATCCAGGCCACAGCTGCTGCAGAGAGTCGGCAGCGGCTGGCGGCCTTGATGCGAAGGTACGCCCGGCGGTTTAAGGTTTCGGGTTGAGGGGTTTAGCGCTTAGGGGTTTAGGGACTCCTAAGGCCCTATAAGGGGTTTAGGGTTTAGGAGTTTAGGGTTTGGTGTTCAGGGCCAGTTTAGGGTTTAGGGGTTTAGGCTTTAGGGTTCGGGGGTTGAGGGTGAGAGGGAAGTCGCAGGAGATCGGCGAGTGATGATGGTGATTGAATTCAAGGAGCTTAGGTCTTTGGGGTTAACGGTTTCAAGTTTAGGCATCATAGGAGATATTTCTTCCCAAACCAAAACCCTAAACACCAGAGGCTACTGCACCTTCAAGAAAACCTTAACCCCCCCACCCCAAACTGGGTGTAGTGTTTATCACATGGCATGTATGCCTTCTGGAGGATGGTTGGGTCGGGTTCATGGGTCGAGGGTTTAGGGTTGTGAAGCTATCGCAAAGAAGGTGCGTGCAGAGCTTCTATATTAGAGAGGCTGCTGCGACAAATCTTTGGCTTCCAGACCAGTTCTTTCTGTTTTCGCGCTATTTAGATATTCTTTGTCTGGAAGCAAAGGGTTGGTTGCACATATTTCCAGGTGAATTTGATAGATTTGACGTCCTCTTGCCGGCCCAAGACTCATGTCCTGGTCCTTCAAGACGAAATGATCCCTAAAATCGCTTAAGGTTCATCTACCATATAGGGATTCATAGTATTCGGATATAGGGCCCCTACTTTTGAAGGTCATGTGGTCCTTAAGGGCCACGAATCTTTGGGCACACGGATCTCTGAACCCTAAAACCCTAAACCCCTAAACCCCTAAACTCCTAAACCCTATGTAAACCCTAAACCCTAAAACCCTAAACCCTAAAACCGTCTACACCCTAAAACCTGAACCCTAAAACCCTAAAGCCCTAAACCCTAAACCCAAACCCTCTTGAAAGATCCCGGCTTCCGGCGGCCTCTAAGCAAGATCCGACATTACAAGCGACTCAGACCCCGAAAGCCCAACCCGAACCACAAGCCACCGCCCTGATCCCCCAAAATCCCTGAATCCCTAAACCCTAGATCCCTAAATCCGAAAACCCTAAATCCCTAAATCCCGAAAGCCATGAATCCCTAAATCCCTCAACCCCAAACCCTTAAATCCCCAAATCCCTCAACCCCAAACCCTTAAATCCCTACATCTCTCGACCCTAAACCCCTACATCCCTCAACCCTAAACCCCTAAGATCCCTAAATCCCTCAACCCCTAACTCCCTCAACCCCTAAAACCCTTAAATCCCTCAACCCAAAGCCCCTAAATCCCAAAGCCCCTAAATCCCCGGGGTTTGCGGCTTGGGGGCTCTGGACCCCAAGCCCTACAAGTTGCCGCTTTCGGGTTTAGGGTTTATATAGGGTTTAGGGTTTAGGGTTTAGGGTTTATATAGGGTTTAGGGTTTAGGGTTTATATAGGGTTTAGGGTTTAGGGTTTAGGGTTTGTATAGGGTTTAGGGTTTAGGGTTTAGGGTTTATTTAGGGTTTAGGGTTTAGGGTTTATTTAGGGGTTTAGGGGTTTAGGGGTTTAGGGGTTTAGTGGTTTCAGGTTAAGGGGTTTAAGGTTTATATAGGGTTTGGGGTTTAGGGGTTTAGGGGTTTAGGGGTTTAAGGTTTCGGGGTTAATTAGGGTTTGGAGTTTACCCCAAACCCTAAATCCTACACCTAAACCTTAAACCCTAGACCCTAAATCCCACACTTTCAACCTTAAGCCCTAGACCTAAACCTTAACCCTAAACCCTAAACCCCAAACCTTAAACCCTAAACCCTAAACGGCCTATACCCTAAACCCCAAACCGTCGTTTACACCCTAAAACCTAAACCCTGAAATATTTTTTGCTGCCCAGGCATGGCGTGAAGGAGCGGCCCGTGGAGGGCGACACACGGCTTTAGGGCCCCTTCAGGGTTGAGGGTTTAGGGGTCTAGGGTTTTCGGTTTAAGGTTTAGGGTTTAGGGGTTTAGGTTTAGGGTCTAGGGTCTAGGGTTTTCGGTCTAAGGTTTTGGGGTCTAGGGCTCTAGGGTTTTCGGTTTAAGGTTTAGGGTTTAGGGCTTGGGAGGTTTAGGGTTTAGGGGCCTATCTTCTTGGGGCTTTTTTTGTTGAAATGTTGTGCTTTTCTTCTCTAAGTCCTTCAAAAAGGTAGGTTACGGGTTAAGAAGGTAGGGTTTAGGGATGATAAGAGCTTAGGGCTTAGAGGTTTTATAAGGGTTTAGGGGGGGCTTTCGGGCTTTAGGTTTGGGGTTTTCAGGGAAGGTTGATGGCTTCAGGCTTTAACCCTGAGCGCAAAAATCGAAGCTTAAAGCTTTTGTTGCAGGGAGGCCTATGCCTTGAGCTTCGGGTTTAGGGTTTTGGGTTTTGGGTTTAGGGCTTAGGGTAAGGCCCAAACGGTCACGCCCAGACCCTTAAGCCTAAAAGTTTTCCTTGCAAGGGACTTGGTGAAAGAACAACAGACAGTTCACCCCATGCCCTACCCTGAACCCTGCGCCCTAGCCCTCACCCCAGATTCCCACAGATTTTTACCCTAAACCCTAAACCCTAGATTACCCTGAACCCTAAACCATA